CCCAATGATTAAACACTTTCTTAAAGGCATTGAAAACACTTATCCGACAATGATAAACCATACACCCATGTGGGACCTCAACCTTGTTCTACAAGGACTCATGGGAAAACTTCTTGAACCCCTTGCAACTTGCTTTTTGTTGCACTTATCCATGAAGGTGGCTTTTCTCATTGCCATCACATCCACCGGATGGGTGGCAGAACTAGGTGCCCTAATGGCAACCCACCTTATAAAATGTTCTTTAAAGATAAAATAATCCTATGACCCCATCCTAAGTTCATATCCAAAGTCACCTCCCCCTTTCATTTAAGCCAACCCATTTACTTACCTGTATTTTTTCCTAAGCCATATGTGGACAGGAAGGAGGCCTCACTGCACACATTGGATGTTCTCAGAGCATTAGTTTTCTACACTGAAAGAATAAAAACATTTAGAAAATCACGTAGACTATTTGTTTCCATAATAGAATGCTCGATGGGTCAAACCATCTCAAAACAGAGACTATCCAAATGGATATCAGGATGTGTCCATTTGTGCTACCAAAACAATAGTCTGCAGCCTCTCCCAGGAGTTCACACACACTTCACCAGAGCAATAGCAGCGTCTGTGGCCTTTCTCAATAATGTCCCTATCACTGACATTTGCAGAGCGGCTACCTGGGCATCAGTCCATACTTTCATTAAACACTATGCTTTAGAACAACAATCAGTGTCAGATGCTCACTTTGGAATTACTGTGTAATCCACTATCAATAGAGAAACTCCAAAGCCCCTCGCCTCCACTGAAGGGCACAGTCACCTAAAGTGGAGCACCCACAGGGATACTCCTCAAAGAGCAAGAGGGGTTAACCACCTAGTGTAGTAACTGAGGTTCTTCGAGATGGTTATCCCTGTGAGTGCTCCACTGTCTTCCCTCCTCCCCTTTACTTCAGAATTTCAGGCCGATTCTCTGAGGTAGAGAAGGAACATGGGGACAGTTGGCTGCGCACCGCTATGTAACCGCTCGGAGTGACACGAGACGGCTACGGCGCGTGTGCAGCCCAACCGGGCACTGCTACCACAAATCTCTGATTACAAACACAGGGCATCAAAACACCTAAAGTGGAGCACCCATAGGGACAACCATCTTGAAGGACTTCAGTTACTACACAAAGTGAATAACCCTGTCTTCCACTAACCTGTTCTAGGTCCCAAGATAAATACTTACCACCTCTATGAATAGATTAGCGAAAGAGACCTAGAGTCTTTACTCAAACAGAAGCAGTACTCAAGACTCGGTTTCACTCTGAAATAGTGATCTTCAAGAAGAGCTCCAAATCTAGGCAAACAGAAGGGATTTCTTCAACTTTCTGTTTGCAGATATGGTTTAGGGATGTGAGGTGGTTCAGTACATTCAGTTTTATTGATTATGAGGGATTTAGCCACTGTTTAATGTAGAGTGCCAATGTGTATCTTAGGCATGGGAGGAAGTTTTGCATTTGATGCCTTTAAAGACCCTATTCACCATTTGTGGAGTTGTCAGTGAGATCAGGAAGGTTTCTTGAGAGGTCCCACCTAATCCTTTGATCTAACACTCACCAAAATGGAAGGATTCTCTGCCTCCTACTTATGCTTTCTGATCTGAGAGACAAAGTATAGCTGCTCAGATCCAAGACACTAAGTCTGCTTCATCCATCCAGAACCATCTCTATTGAATCAGAGCCTTTGTTGTGAAGATCTTCCCTTCTTTAGGTGCAACCTAAAACCCAGGAAATTCATATTGATCAGTCTCTCTCTTACTCAGCTCCTACTTCCAATGGTTCAGGGACTCCAGTTTCTTCATATTTGCAAGAATCTTCCTCCCAAATCTTCCCCAGCCATATGGGGAACAAATTTGTCAGGTATGGGCCCTTATGTTCAATGTACTGTTTATGGCTCTTCGGACATAAGACTTCATTTTCTGTCTACTTGATATCACTTAGGAGCATCCTTGAAAGAGTCTAGCCAACAGAGAGGCTTAAATTGAAATCTAGGTAGCTGAGGCTCATTCCAGAAAGATGGAGATTATTATGTAGAAGGGCTCCAATACATAATCCTAAAATAGATACATTTAGAGTCCATTCTATCAGAGATATAGTCCCCTCCAAGACTCATCTCCATAATATATCCACATTAGGTTCATTCTGTAGAAGGTCAGTGTTTTCCAAGAATTTATCACACATTGGTATCTGAGATACTGAGGTTATTGTCCATATTTATGGAGATATACCTATCTCATAGAACTGGAAGGGACCCTGAAAGGTCATTGAGTCCAGCCCCCTGCCTTCACTAGCAGGACCAAGTACTGATTTTGTCCCAGATCCCTAAGTGGCCCCCTCAAGGATTGAACTCACAACCCTGGGTTTAGCAGGCCAATGCTCAAACCACTGAGCTATCCATCCCCCCAAGGAAGTAACCTGAGTAGCTAAGACCAGTTTATAGTAACTTGTGACAGATGTTGATTTTATTGGCTGCTGCTGTATGTCTGAGATTTGTAAGGCTTCAAATCACCATTTGGAATTAAATTTACACTTTTACTCAGCAATGCTCTCTGATTCTGAAGCTAAATTGGATGTTTGTTTTCAGCGGGAGTAGGCAGCCTTCTTGAGTTAAACGTTCCTTAACCCTCCCCCAGGGAATGGCTTCCGCTTGCTACCCTCCTACAGTGGAGTTCTTCAGGAAGAAACAAAGTGTACTTAGTAACTGGAATTCTCCAGAAGATTGTATAATTACACAACTGTATTCAGTGGGGGCGTTGTGAAGCTGAGAGCTTTGAGAGGGGATGTGTCTTGGGAAGCACAATCCAGGCCAAAGCTCCAGGGAGCACTTGGGGATTGTGCATGCTGCACTTTCCCTTAGGATAGTACAACCTTTTCCTTTCTCTGTGTCTAGCTGATCCACTGGCCAGTGTGTTGGTGGGAAAGGCTATGTCTCCTCTCTCTTTGAGGTGTCTTGCCGCCCCAGAATTACTTCAATCAACAGGTCTTGTGGTGCTTCCTTAAGTGCAAGGTCTTTGATTATCACTGGCCCTTGCATGGGGGCTGGGGCAAAGCTACTTTTACCTTTCCTATGTCCATCCATCCACATGAGGGTCTGGGTACTCTAGCCCACTGCCTCTGCAAATCCACATTTACTCGCCATCCTTCGCTGAATCTATGGTGTATTATAGCTAGTTTAGATGAAGCAGAGGGGAACTGGGAATAGTTACAGGGATGAGGCCTTTTGTAATCACAGTTGGTCAGCTTTTACCAATATGTTGGTTCTTTGTACTGATGTGTGTGCATCCTCTAACAGTCAAACGGCTTTAGGATGTTTCATGGGTCTTGTCATGCAACAAAGAGGTTCTGTAGTGTGGGTCTGGAGAGGCAATATATCAGGTACCTTTTCTTTCTTCTTTTTAAGGAACTAAGATGGGTTCCTACTTGGGAATGTAAAAGGAGTTTAACTCACGGACCATTTTATTTCAGAAGTCAAATATGGCCATGAAGTGTGGTCAATAGGTACTTTAATTAGCTTCTTATTCTCCCTTGCATAAAATATGCAGAGGGACTCAAAACAGTTTTGCAGACTGTTTCAAAGGTAGCTGAAATAAACATTAGCTGGAATAATTAATAACAAATGCAATTATTTTATTTAGTTTCTATTAGACATCCAGTATAGAGCATACACACATTTAATCAATACAAACTTGGGTGCCTGAAAAAGGGAGTTAAACTCCTCCTACAACAGGATCTTTTTCCTCCAGTGCCTAGTGTAATCCTTTCCCATTCCAATATGCAAAAAAGAGTCCCCAAATAGAACAAAATTGTGCCCTTGTTTGCACTTGTGAGGAGGCGAGGAAAAGGGTAAGGACATCCTTAGACCCTTATTCAAACAGGGACGCGCAGACTTTCGGCTGGTAGGAAATTGTGGTCCATGGGCTCAGCGAGGGTGACCAGATAGCAAGTGTGAAAAATCGGGACAGAGAGTGGGAGTAATAGGTGCCTCTATAAGACAAAACCCTGAATATCAGGACTGTCCCAATCAGGACATCTGGTCACCCTAGGCTCAGCAGACCACTAGTTAGGGGAGATGCTCAGCTAATGCACCAGCCTGTATGCCATGTGGCCTAGCACTGTCTAGCTCTTAAATGCTTGTTACAGCATATGCTGCCTTAGCAATAACACTGCTCAGCAGATGGTCAGCACACAGGTTGTTCCTGCTCTAAGCAGTATCAAAGTGTACCAGAGTTTTTTCTTGGTGTCCTTGTTGAATCCAGCTCTACTCTTGGTTTCTTTTTGCAGAGGATACATCTGCCAGCATCCCTCTCCCTTGTCTACCTTGTCAGTCCCATGGAAGGATTTGGCCTGATTATCTTTTTTTTTCCAAACAGACTTATTTTGCCCTGTTAAATATGGACATGAAATCCAGAGCTTTATAGAATGTTCATTGTTGTTTATGATGATGATGAAGCAAAAGTATCTTAGCCTGCTTTAAAAGAGCATATTTTGAAGATCAGTGTTCATAATTGGCTTTTAAAATATATAACTAGTGCTATTCTCCTAGCTGGCTGTTAGCAAAAAGGGTGGATCAATGTACTGGGAACCTATTCATTATACCTAGCACATTAACAACCTTTGGGCTTCCAGAGCTAGTATACACTTTGAGAAAAGAGTGTTTTTGTAACCTGTCATTTTCTATTTAAGGCTTATTTTGTATTCCTTGAAATCATCAAATGGAATGCTCTCCTAATAGTGAAGAAATGGGTTCAGTCTGAAAAAGCCATTTGTTAGCAAATTTCTAATTAGGAAGAGCTGTCTGAACATGAGCACACTGATTTTTCACTTTTAAACAAAGGGAAATAGAGTATCTGTTTGCACCATAAAACACCAAGGCAGTGACATGCAAAAGTAAAATAAGCTACCTTGAAACATCTAAAATTCATTATACTGTAATAGTGCATCTTTTTTCATAGCTAATAATTTTTTTTGTGTATTTGTGCAGGAAGAAGCACTCCATAGATTTCGAGTGAGTGATTATTTAGAATACATGGAAAGCTTGGAGGCAACCTACAGGCCAGTGTTGCTGAGAGACATGAGGAACATTAGAATGCAGAGCACATAGATCAAGCAAACAAGCATTTCATCTTCAAGCTTTAGTTAAGTTCTGAAAGGGAATGCCGATTGTTTTATATCAGTCTTCATAAAAATTCATGCTGTGGAAATACACATATGTTAAAATCCATAATAAAGTTTTCAGAATATAGGTTTTTCAAGGGGACATCATCTGAATTGGATCAACTGAAAAATAATTAATTTTTCCAGCCATACTGTATGTATTGCCTTATTTTTATTTGGTAGATTGCTTGAGAATCTGCCCTTAGCTGACGTCAGGGTCTTGTTTGTATTCTCTGGAAACTGTTCCCAAACTAATACATTTTGGTCATCTCCTACCTACACCATCACACCTAAAACTTTAAAATTCTGCACAGGTCTGGCAATAAGAAGCAGTACTGAGAATAATCACTTGGGTATCCTGTATTTATGTGAATGGGGATGAGCAAAAGCAAAGCAGCTTTCCTGGATGCAGCTGATCTGACCTTGTGGTTTGGCTGAGGAAGAATAGTTAAATCCAAGTGGAACAAAGGACTGATACTGCCCTCAGCCATAATGGTTTTAAAAATATTTCTATACCATAAATATATATTTGTAATCTTATATGCTAATTTTATATTCTCAGAATGGATAAATGGGAAGGCAGATTACTAAAATATGCATTATTCAGTACAGTCATTTTATTGATTGGCTTGACTTGTACATATTACCCTTATATAAAACCTTGCACTAATAAAAGCAAGGTAATTCTGAGGTAAATAAATGAACAGTGTGGATTACTCTTCTGTCCGATCTGGAGTCAACTTCAGAAAACATGTCAAAGATGAGTGTGACATCAATTCTGGAAATTAGTGATTCATTTGTGTTTTTATACAATGATTGATTTCAACATTCTGAAATGTGTGTTTTGGTGTGTATAAGCCTGGGTTTCTGAAACAGAAGTCAAAATAATTTTGTTATGTATCACTAATACAAAAAATGGCAATTAATCTAAAATACTTTTTGCAAAACAAATGTTCATTAAGGTTCATTTACTTGTTTTATCTTTTCTGTTCATTGTGACTTCAGACAGTTGAAATACTGACTTGAAAATTGGAGTATATAAAAATAATTCCATTACAATGTAACCTATAGTTCTGTTATTACAATAGCATGGCAAGTCTATAAAAAAAAATTCAGTGAGTTAGCTTGACATACTGGACTTTTTGCCCCAACTGATATGAATTTAACAAAGGAGTCCTAAAAATGGTACTAAAAGCACAAGAACTACTTTAAAATTACATTTTCCAAACTTGTTTCCCAATGTATAATATAAGTTTATGGTTCCCTTTCTTTCCATTATACTGGTGAGTTATTGTATTTGGTGTAGAGAATCTTGCAGTGCTTTGTTACTGTTTTTAAAAAGCTGCATCACAATAACAAGAAAAACTGAATAGAAAAAAGGGGCTATAAATTAATTTTGAAACGCTCTCTCCCTCTCTTGACTGGGATCTGAGGAAAGATGAAGCAGGTAACAATTACACTGCAGAAATCTGAATTCATCTTATGCTGAGAGGCCAAATTTTATGTCACCAGGGAAAGTCTTGTGACTAAATATACAACAGTTTGATTAGTTGACAACAGTTGTTAAGTGTGCCAACTACTGAGAGTCTTTTTCACCTTAATTTTGTACCGTACACATCCTCTGATTTTAACAACTGAGTCAAGACCAAAAATGAATGTCCAACAGTTTCTTGGATTTCTAAGACTTAAGTACCATGTAGTTATGAACGAAGGCTTGTGCTTTCCTGGAATAGCAAAGGAATTGGATTTTCAGTGCTTACCTGCTGGTAAGATCCCAAAGGCTCTCACAGCTGGGATGCTGCCCCAGGTATCAAAGGGAGGAGACAAAGCAGAGCACTGTTCAGCTACTCCATTGAATTTGAGATATACAGATTTGTGCTCTGTGCAGACTCACTAGCAACAGCCATTGCTCTCCACCCTTCCTGTAACTATGTGGGTTACTCATATGTCCATAGTGAACATGAGGTTATAGAGTCTCCTTTGGCTGGTTCTCCATTGCCTTCCCCATTAACATATTAGAAAGATGGTATTTTGGCTACATCTTGCCCTAGCATGCTGGGAGAAGATTGAGTGCTAAATGTTCATTTTTGCTAGTGTGTTTATAGGTGATGTACTCTGGTCAATATTTGCTCACTTTCATTCCACAGTGATATCTAAGAGAAGAGTTTGCACCTGTACTTAGAACAGGAAATGACTGTGGGGCAAGCTAGCAAATGCTGACTTGTCAAAGGCTAAGTGGGTATGCATGGATGTGCTTGCATATGCAGAAGATGAACTCTAATTGGAACTTTATTCATGTACATCAGTAGGAGGAGGTCATTATTTTATCTCATTTAAATTCAGAAATGTAACTTGAATGTACCAATTTATTGCAGATTAAATAATGTGTATCCACCAACTATTACAGTAATGTCTCAGAATGGAAGAAAAATGATGTGGTTTCTCTAAGTCGATCTGTGCATGTGGCTAATCACATGTCACATGCACAGCACCCTATAATGGGGTTTTATTCCCCATTTAAGTGATAGATTGTGTGTGTGTGATATTCGTGGTGGCAGCTTCTATTGCTGCCATTCTGAATACAGTCTCTCTAAAATAACAAGAAGGCACAAATTATGTCTGATAGTTTAAACTACATTTTCCTTTTTGCACTAAGAAATCTTAGTCAGATTACTGTGCAAGAGTATAGAGGCTTTCCACAAAGATTTTCTATTTTGATAGGTGCAAGTATCCAGCATAACAGTTCACCCTGAAGAACACATTAATATTGGAAACAAAGGGCATGCTGTGGTTAGTTCTAGTAGCAAAGCAATATAAACTACCATAGTGCCTCCTGTGTATGTAGGCAGAATTACCGGGTGAAATGGGGTGCTCAGGAAAGTTTAAGTTTGGGAAGTACTTGGTTACAGAACATGTTGCAATGCACCTAGGGATTGCCACCTATGAATAAAGCTAGCTAGCTATACAAATTAGGTGTGGTTTCATCAGAACTTTTTAAAATTGAAATCTATGGCAGAAAAAAATAAAGCATCTCAGCTCTATAAATCCTGTCTCTGCTGTATTTGAGGTTACCCAATGTCATCACAACACTTTCTCGTAATGTGAATGAAGCAGTACTGTCAGTTTGGGGACAGTTAATTCCACTCTTAATGGCTCTTGATTTTTTTCCCTATATTTCCACCGGTGTGAAATGAATACATACATATGAACACACTCAAAGGTAAAATATTAACTAATACTTGCATTCAGTAGAGCTGGGTTTTTCAGGTTTGGGGTTTTGGTTTGGTTTTTTCTATATGTAAATTTGAGGATGAGCCAGAAATTACTGACATTTTCCATTGCTGCTGCTTTTTTCTGTCTATAAAATGTGTTTGGTAGGGGCTTTTTTAATAGAAAGAAAGTGAAACTCTTAAACTTGATTAAAATAGTTTCTTTCTTAAACTGCTGGGTGGATTTCACACGTCAGTTATGTGTACTGTAGAGTGAAATAAAAGAATTATGACAATAGTTAATGCTACCACATATTTATCTGAAATCAGTGTCAGACTATCAAATCTATGTTCTCAATGCTAGTACTGTCTCTTATTTGATTTTTAAAGTACCTAACTTCATTGCCACAATGCTCTATACCTATACCAGCTAGCAATTGTCCAGGCAGTTGTTGAGTGCTAGGCTGTTAAAACGTGAATATTTAGCAAAGTTGTGCATTTTTGATATATTGAGGATGATAGCTATTATATTACTCATCAATTATATAACCATTAATCCACATATCATTGGCAAATATGCACTACAGAAATTAATGTCTCCTGCCACAGGCATTGGGACATCCAGGGGACTGTTACCAGTTTATCAGCAACCACCCCCACTCACAAATAATAGGCATTGAAAAGAGGTCATTAAAACACCGCTTATACATAAAGCTGCCAATGCAAAAACAGCTTTCAGCATCACCACCACATCTTCAAATCATCAGAAATAATAAGATTTATATATTCAAAGACAGCTGCTACTAAAACACAGTGGATGATTTGAAGGGGTTAAAAGGTACAGTACTTCAAAAACACATTAAATAATCAGAAAGACAGGTGAGGTGTGAGTACAGAGCCAAGACTCAGGAGTTCCTGAGTGCCAATGCTAATTTTGACAGAGTCCTGCTGTGTTGCCTTGGGCAAGTCAGTTAACTTCAAATTTCCCCATCTGTAAAATGAGAACAATAATAGTCATTTCATATGGGTGTTGTGATGATTAATTAGGGAATATCTGTCGAGCACTCAGAAAATGAAAAGTGCTGTATAAGAGCTAATTATTAATATCTTACAGTATAAAATCAAAAAGATTCCAGAGCGCTTTATGAATGAGAGACAGCACCAGTGACATGCATCCAACTATGGGACAGAGGGAAGCAGAGCTTGAACTAAGAGGAAAAACTGCTGCTATGTCCTCTCGATGATCAGCCTAAAACACTCCAACACCACCTGGGCCACAAACATCAAGATACACCCACTCCCTGAGTGAAATTCAGCTGCAATATTCCTCCCTCCAGCCCTGGAGGGTTTAAAAATAGCTTCTGCTCTCTGCTGAGATTCCCCTTTCCTAGCAGTGAAATACAATTAAATGCAGGAAAATAAGGAAATAAAATACAGTTTTCTAACCTTACAGTTGTATGTTGCTTTTTCTCCCTGGTCTATTTACTTCTCTCTCTCTGGTGCTATCCTTCTGCTCCTCTCTCTTCTTCCCTTGCTATTGTTCACTTTCATCTTCATATTTTCTTTTTCTTCTTGTATATCAGTTTTCCCCTTTTATCATTTTCTCACCTCTGTCTCATACTTTCTTCTAACCAAGTGGCCTTTATCTCTATTCATAGCCCCCTGTCCCCTGCACCATTCCCACCCCCACACCTGTTTAGCCAACCCAGACTCTTCCTCTGATTGCAGAAAGACTGTTTTGTTTTAAAGTGGTTTGACTTCCTATGTCAGTGTTTTGTTCACAGAATATACATCCGAATCAACATCAAATGGCAGAAGCCTGCAATTTTATTAATCAGCTGTTCAAGTCCATAAAAAGAATACAGAACCCTACCAACCCCAAATCTCATTAACTGAAAACCATAAAAAGTCCCAGACGTAGAATCATAGTAGTGTAGGACTGGAAGGGACCTCAATAGGTCATCTAGTCCAGTCTCGGGCACTCAAGGTAGGACTACATAATACCTAGACCATTCCTGACAGGTGTTTATCTCCTGTTCTTAAAAACCTCCAATGATGGAGATTTCACAACCAATTTGTTCCAATGCTTAACTACCCTGACAGGAAGTTTTTCCTAGTGTCCAATCTAAACCTGCCCTGCTGCAATTTAAGCTCATTACTTCTTGTCTTATCCTCAGAGGTTACCAAGAACATTTTTCACTCTCCTCCTTTTAACAACCTTTTATGTACTTGAAAACTGCTATTGTGTCCCCCTCAGCCTTCTCTTCTCCAGACTAACCAAACCCATTTTTTTTCAACCTTTCCTCAGAGATCATGTTTTCTAGACCTTTAATCATTTTTGTTGCTCATCTCTGGACTTTCTCCAGTTTGTCCGCCTCTTGAAATGTTCCCTTTCCCCATGTAGAATAAATTAAGTATCTTTTAATTTACCTCATCCTCCTAACTTTTGCAGCTTAAGGGCCTGTTCCTAAGCCCACTAAAGTTAATGGGAGTCTTTCCACTGACTTCAGTGGGCTTTGGATCAGGCCCTAAAGCATAGCGTATTACCCTCTTCAGCAAGGATTCCATTCAAGAGTTGCTAGTTGTGAACAGGGCTATCTTAATTCTATAACAGTAGACTTCACCCATGTTTGCTTCAGCTACCCTGTCTATAAAATGAGGCTAAGACATTGGTAAAATTACTTTGCCAAGCTGAGGCAACAGAAGTTTGCTGACCAGAACAAATGCCTCTGGCTCAAACCAGAGAAGAGTGTGAAGTCATGCCCCCAGGATCCAGAAGGAAGGACATGAAGGCATTAACAGCAGGTGCTGGTGAGCAAACAGATGTGGGTATGATGAATCCTAGTGCCCTGCCTTTAGCCCCAGACAGTTCTGTAAATGAAAACTAAATAATAACATTATAATGAGGAAACACTAGTCAAATTATATTGTGAAGGAGACACAAAAACAGTTATAAACACTTTAAATGGCAGCTTAAGTTCAATGGAGAAAACAAAATTGAGGTCAGTTCTTTAAATTGGAAAATCTGATTTGTCAATATTTTAAGATGTTCAAGGTAAGTATTGCTTAGGGCAATGGAAACTGAGATTATAAAACACATTCAGTCTTGGTCTCAATCTGCTCCCAGTAAATTTATAACACTTTCACTGACTTCAGAAGAAGTATTAAGCCAACACTAAAGTCTGAAAATCCCACCTACTGAGCTTAAATTCAGTATACACACCTTTTTTTAAAATGGACAGTTTGTTTGTGTTTTATGTTCTCACTAATAGGAGGAGCCCAAGCCACATTCAAAGTGAGGGCAGAGGTAAGTCTGCCTTGGCAGTTGTGAGGGAGTTGTGATAGCAAGCCTACAGGGAAAGCTTGCACCCTGGTATGTTGCAAATTGATGACATACTGGTTCATTTCCAATTCCTTTGTATTTGGCCAAGCCCTGCATCATCCTTTCCTCCACATCTAGCTAGAAGCAATAGAGCTGTATGATATGCTAGTTATTTGTTTGCATCACTATTTTTTTTATACATAGAGATGATGTTACAAAGTTGGCAAGGAATTTGGTGGGAGGAGCAGAGCTGCCTCCTTCCGAGATTCAAGATGGGCTCCAGAGACCTGGATCATCTAGCCCTATCGAAGTGACAGTGATGAGATTAGAGGGGGGCCCTAGATCATCCATATGAGTTAGATCAATAGCTCTTCCCAAGGGAAGGAAATGAATTCTGTCAATGGTTGAGCAAAACATAAGTCACTGAATGTCACTACTGAAACCATTCATTAGAAGCAATTATTTCAAGCTGCATTTCTTAAGGAAAAGGGCAGCTAATCAGTCTTATCCATCCCACATGGACAAGCATATGTAAAAGCATGTGTACAGAATTCTTAGGCCTTAATGGGGAGGAATTATCACAAAACTAATTATATGCTGGTACAATTTGAAAATGACACAAATTATTGCAGTGGTAAATAATGATGGCAATATGGTTATGCAGATTGATCTGGATCACTTGGTAAGGTGGATTGATTTGAACAACATGTGTTTTAATACAGCCCAATGCAAGATGTCACATCTAGGAACAAAGAAGATAGGTCAGACTTACAAGATAAGAGAAAGTATCCTGGAATGTAGTGCCTGAGCTGCCAATGCTGTATTATAGTTAAAACGA